TGACTCCCAAAATCTAGATGCAGGATGGGACTTGTAGTTTCGCAACAGCTGAATAGCCCCCAGTTTGACACCCCTGTGCTAGTGGATCGAGTTAGTTTTAACAGGTTTTCCCTTTAAAATGTGCAATTTTTGCAGTTCTGTGCGCTCTTTCGGCCACCATGTTTACACAACTGCCCCTTTAAGGGATGAAGTGTAGGCGTAGCCTGCATTCAGTGCCGGTTTTTTATTGATATAAAAATTGTACCCGGTCCCAAAATCCATTCGAGTTTCATGAGCAACACACACCAGAATTCTGATACAGTCAGGTTATAGTGCCGCCTACGGGGGGGGGGGGGGGGGATTGGACATTGGCAAATTGTAAGCTGGCCCATCACATGAATCAGGGGTCTCCAAACGTTCTGAACAAAAGGGACAAGTTTATGGTCCTTCAGACTTTAGGGGGGCTAGAGTGTGACCAGAGGGAGTAGAAAGGATCCTGGCATTGTTGGGGTCAGCGATGGAGATCGTGCACCATCGTTGGGGGCCCGTGATGGAACTAGCTCCCCCTCGTTGGGGGCCCGTGATGGAACTAGCTCCCCATCGTTGGGGGCCCCTGATGGAACTAGCTCCCCCTCGTTGGGGGGCCCGTGATGGAACTAGCTCCCCCGTCGCTGGGGGTCCGTGATGGAACTAGCTCCCCCTCGTTGGGGGTCCGTGATGGAACTAGCTCCCCATCGTTGGGGGTCCCCGATGGAACTAGCTCCCCCTCGTTGGGGGTCCCCTGATGGAACTAGCTCCCCCGTCGTTGGGGGTCCCTGATGGAACTAGCTCCCCGTCGTTGGGGGTCCCCGATGGAACTAGCTCCCCGTCGTTGGGGGTCCCCGATGGAACTAGCTCCCCGTCGTTGGGGGTCCCCGATGGAACTAGCTCCCCGTCGTTGGGGGTCCCCGATGGAACTAGCTCCCCGTCGTTGGGGGTCCCTGATGGAACTAGCTCCCCGTCGTTGGGGGTCCCTGATGGAACTAGCTCCCCATCGTTGGGGGTCCCTGATGGAACTAGCTCCCCATCGTTGGGGGTCAGTGATGGAACTAGCTCCCCATCGTTGGGGTCACTGGGAGGAATGATATCCCAAGGGCCAGATAAAGTCAGCAAAGGGCCACACAGTATGGAGACCACTGGCATAAACTCCCCTTTACCCAACATACCGCTTGTCTGCTAAAGCAAAAAACACAGAGGGGTGGGACCTGTGACCCTCCAGGACTTCCCAGGAATAATTGTATAATGTTAAGTACAATCCCATTTTAAGTCTGGTCTTTGAGGGTCCAACTAAGGATGAAAGGCAGGGGGGATGGGGGCCTGCAGGCCTCGAGAGGACGTCTAGGACTGCCTGCAGCCCAAAAGGACCAACACATGAGGTGAACCCCCAACTACACAGGGAAAGTCAACCAAAAGGAACTAACAGGATGGATCAACCTAATAGTCTGACACAGGAAGACCGGTCACCAGCCACGTAAGAGACTCTATATGGAAGGAGCACCAAACCTGAGCTCAACCACCAGCAATGACCAAAAACACAGGTGAAGCAACAAAAAAAAAAAAAAAAAAAAAAAAAAAAAAAAAAAAAGGGAAGGGGGGGCCAACAATATGGTGTGGTGACCAAACAATTCCTGGGAAATAGGCATCTGGGTGGAAGAGGTATTTAAAAAGGATAGCATAACATTTTAGTTTTTTTTTTTTTTTTTGCTGAAAAGTCTAAGTTGGAATGGAGACACGGGCCTTTACACCTCCATCCCTTCTCACAGAAAAAAAATAAAATTATATATATATATATATATATTATATATATATATATATATATATATTTATTATTAATATTTTATTTATAATAATTTATTATTACTCTTAATAAAAAAAAAAAATTTATATAATTAAGAGTAATAATACTAAAATTATTATAAATAAAATATTAATAAATAAATGTAAAAAAATATATTTTTTTTATTATTAATATTTTATTTATAATAATTTAGTATTATTACTCTTAATTATTTAAATATTAATAATAAAAAAAAAATATATATATATATTTTTTTTATTATTAATATTTAAATAATTAAGAGTAATAATACTAAATTATTATAAATAAAATATTAATAATAAATAAATCTAAAAAATATATATTTTTTAGATTTATTATTAATATTTTATTTATAATAATTTAGTATTATTACTCTTAATTATTTAAATATTAATAATAAAAAAAAAATATATATATATATTTTTTTTATTATTAATATTTAAATAATTAAGAGTAATAATACTAAATTATTATAAATAAAATATTATAAAAAAAATATATATTTTTTAGATTTATTTATTATTAATATTTTATTTATAATAATTTAGTATTATTACTCTTAATTATTTAAATATTAATAATAAAAAAAAAATTTATATATATATATATATATATATATATATATATATATATATATATATATATATATATATATATATATATATATATATTTTATTTATTTTATATTTTTAAGTATTATTATTATTATAGAAATACCCATGCTACTTTTTGGAAGTACTACAGCACTGCAATGTATACAAACAATCCACTCTATTGGAGATCTAAAACCACATGTATTAAATTAAAAAACCCCACTTATTTAGCAACTTGTGCCGATTTACACTACAACCACAATGGCTCGCATATGACAGAGGAATACATTGCACGACAAAGCTACGCGTTTCAGAAAGCAACTCACTTCTTCAGGAGTCGATGCAACAGCCAGGTTTGTCTATGAATGAAATACAACACGGTGGGATATAGGTGTATGTAGATGTGGTATATCCCACGGTGTTGTATTTCATTCATAGACAAACCTGGCTGTTACATCGACTCCTGAAGAAGTGAGTTATTGGTTTACAAAACGCATCGAGTGGTGCAATGTATTCCCCGGTCATAACAACCAATGAATGTAGGAATACAAAATAATATCTTCAAATGGGTAAATTCATGCATTTGTTTGGATACATTGCTTACAGCACGGGTGTCAAACTGGCAGCCCTCCAGCGGCTGCCAAACTACAAGTCCCATGAGGCATTGCAAGACTGACCGTTACAAACATGACTCCCAAAAGGCAGAGGCATGATGGGACTTGGGTGTCAAACTGGTGGTCCTCCAGCTGTTGTGAAAACTACAAGTCCCATCATGCCTCTGCTTTTGGGAGTCACGCTTGTAACTGTCAGCCGTGCAATGCCTCATGGGACTTTTAGTTTGGCAACAGCTGGAGGGCCACCAGTTTGAAACCAAAGTCCCATGAGGCATTGCACAGCTGACAACAGTTACAACCATGACTCCCAAAAGGCAGAGGCATGAGGGGACTTGTAGTTTCACAACAGCTGGAGGGCCGCCAGTTTGACACCCAAGTCCCATCATGCCTCTGCTTTTGGGAGTCATGCTTGTAACTGGCAGCCGTGCAATGCCTCATGGGACTTGTAGTTTGGCAAAAGCTGGAGGGCCACCAGTTTGAAACCAAAGTTCCATGAGGCACTGCACGGCTGACAGTTACAACCACGTCTCCCAAAAGCAGAGGCATGATGGGACTTGTAGTTTCACAACAGCTGGAGGAGCACCAGTATGACACCCAAGTCCCATCATGCCTCTGACCATTACAAACATGACTCCCAAAAGGCAGAGGCATGATGGGACTTGGGTGTCATACTGGTGCTCCTCCAGCTGTTGTGAAACTACAAGTCCCATGAGGCCTTGCACGGCTGACAGTTACAAGCGTGACTCCCAAAAGCAGAGGCATGATGGGACTTGGGTGTCAAACTGGCGGCCCTCCAGCTGTTGCCAAACTACAAGTCCCATCATGCCTCTGCCTTTGGGCGTCATGCTGTAACTGTCAATCTTGCAATGCCTCATGGGACAGTTTGACACCCCTGGCTTACAGCGTTGTAGCACCTCTGAAAAGTCGCATGGGCATTTCTATATAATTTCCTTTTTCACAGTAGAGCTGGTGGAAAGGCGTCCATCTTCCTAGGACACTAGCAAAATAACTGAGGCATGCTGGGTAGAGGAGGGGGAGGGGTTATACTACAACTTTTTGTCAGTGTTCAACCCTCCTGTAGGTGGCGGCATAACCCGACTGTATCAATTCCGGTGTGTAAGCCTACCTCCATTTCCACCCTTATTAGTGGGTTGTATTCATTAGTAGAGGAAAGCTGCTGGCAGTTCTCATTTATGGCTTTACCGAAAAAAGTCTTACAAACATAAAAAAAAAGGGAAGAGCATATCTTTTCCTTAATACAACTCACAGAAGAGTCCCCTTTGCATGCCGTTTTTCGGTGTTGCCCCCCACAATAACAGAATTTATAGCCCGGTAATAAAAAGCTACAAAAAAAAAAACCATGCGACATAAGAAAGGCGGTGTGCCGCGCCACGGGGGCGTCTCCGCACACGACGGACGATGAGGGTTTACACGGACAGGGACGCAGGCAGTCAATGAAGTTTGAGGCTCTGGCGGTCTCGCAGGCGGAGGTAATACAAGCGTCGTTGAGGCACTGGGTGGATGTAGCTGGAGAGGCGGGTCTAGCACCAATGTACGGTCTTCAGATCACAAGGCCACACAAGAGCGGAGCGCAGCAGGGCCGGGCGGGAGGTGACATCGGCGGGACGGCCAGGAAAAAAAAAAAAAACCGCGAAAAAAGGCACAGCGGGCTACATTCACCTCTCGTGTTCCCGCTGCTACGGCAGATGCCAGGGATTCTCAGGAAGAAGGTGCTAGGCAGAGCCGTACAATGGGCTTCATGTAGCTGCCACCGAACAGTGCAAAATATGTACATTCAGGGTGGAAGCTCCTCGGTGGACAGCCGGGACAGTGAAGGATGCACAGTTTAGCCGGGTGTAAAGCCGGGCGAAGCGTAGCAGGAAGCCGGGCCCAGCTGCGCCCATAACAGTCATGTCACATGATAAAGCCTTAGGGTTGCGTTCAGCGGCAGGGCGTTCAGCAGGAGCTGGTCTGCAGGTTGCTCTCCGTCAGCAGCGAGGTGATAGAAGTCGGGTCGTACTTGCCGTCAAATTCGCCGTCGGAACTCAAGTCGTCGTCGGCGGTGGGACGGACTGGCTTCCGCCTGGGAAGAAGAAGAACGCGGGGTGCAGATTAGAAGATATATGGACTGCAGAAGACGTGATTATGGAATACAACTCATAGTAATCCTCAGATGGCACGGAGGGAAGGAAAATCAAAAACAGAAAAAAGGTCTAAAATATCGTAGAGGATGTCAGGAAGTGCCAAGCTTTGAAATGTAACTCAGCAAACTGAGCTGTCTGACTCCATATCTAGGGTTCGAGAGAGAGAGCACGCGAGAGTGGGGGGGGGGGGGGGGGGGGGAGAGAGAGCGGGGAGGGGAGAGGGGGGGGGGGGGGGGGAGAGAGAGAGAGGGCGCGCGAGAGGTGGGGGGGGGGGGGGGGGGGGGGGGGGAGAGAGAAAGCGCGGAGAGTGGGGGGGGGGGAAGAGAGAAAGCGGGGGAGAGGGGGGGGGGGGGAAGAGAGAAAGCGGGGGGGGGGGGGAAGAGAGAAAACGGGGGGGGGGGGGGGGAAGAGAGAAAGGGGGGGGGGGGGGGGGGAGAAGAGAGAAAGCGCGGGGGGGGGGGGGGAGAGAGAGAAAGCGGGGGGGGGGGGGGGGGGGGAGAAGAGAGAAAGCGCGGGGGGGGGGGGGGAGAAGAGAGAAAGCGCGGGGGGGGGGGGGGGGGGAGAAGAGAGAAAGCTGGGGGGGGGGGGAGAAGAGAGAAAGCGCGGGGGGGGGGGGGGGGGAGAAGAGAGAAAGCGCGGGGGGGGGGGGGGGGGAGAAGAGAGAAAGCGAAAGGGGGGGGGGGGGGGGAGAAGAGAGAAAGCGCGGGGGGGGGGGGGGGGGAGAAGAGAGAAAGCGCGCGGGGGGGGGGGGGAGAAGAGAGAAAAGAAAGGGGGGGGGGGGGGGGGGGAGAAGAGAGAAAGCGCGGGGGGGGGGGGAAGAGAGAAAAGCGGGGGGGGGGGGGGAGAAGAGAGAAAGCGCGGGGGGGGGGGGAGAAGAGAGGGAGCGGGGGGGGGGGGGGAGAAGAGAGAAAGCGGCGGGGGGGGGGGGGGAGAAGAGAGAAAGCGGGGGGGGGGGGGAGAAGAGAGAAAGCGGGGGGGGGGGGGAAAGAGAGAAAGCGCGGGGGGGGGGGGAGAAGAGAGAAAGCGCGGGGGGGGGGGGGGGGGGGGGGAGGGGGGGGGGGGGGGGGGGGGAAAGAGGAAAGCGCGGGCGGGGGGGGGGGGGGGGGGGAGGAAGAGAGAAAGCGCGGGGGGGGGGGGGGGGGGAAAGAGAGAAAGGGGGGGGGGGGGGGGGGGGGGGGAAAGAGAGAAAGAGGGGGCGGGCGGGGGGGGGGGGGGGGGAAAAAAAGAGGGAAGAAAGGCGGGGGGGGGGGGGGGGGGGGAAAGAGAGAAAGCGCGGGGGGGGGGGGGGGGGGGGGGGGGGGAGAGAAAGAGAGAAAGCGCGGGGGGGGGGGGGGGGGAAAGAGAGAAAGCGGGGGGGGGGGGGGGGGGGGGAAAGAGCGGGCGGGGGGGGGGGGAAAGAGAGAAAGCGGGGGGGGGGGGGGGGGGGGGAAAGAGAGAAAGCGGGGGGGGGGGGGGGAAAGAGAGAAAGCGCGTGGGGGGGGGGGGGGGGAAGAGAGAAAGCGGGGGGGGGGGGGGGAAGAGAGAAAGCGCGGGGGGGGGGGGGGGAAGAGAGAAAGCGGGGGGGGGGGGGAAGAGAGAAAGCGGGGGGGGGGGGGGGGGGAAGAGTGAAAGCGCGGGGGGGGGAAGAGTGAAAGAGAAAGAACAAGGAGAGAGAGAGAGAGAGAGAGAGAGAGAGAGGGGGGGAGAGAGAGAGAGAGAGAGGGGGGAGAGATGAGAGAGAGAGAGAGGGGGGGAGAGAGAGAGAGGGGGGGGGGGGAGAGAGAACAAGGGGGGGGGGAGAGAGAGAGAACAAGGGGGGGGGAGAGAGAGAGAGAACAAGGGGGGGGGAGAGAGAGAACAAGGGGGGGGGGGAGAGAGAGAACAAGGGGGGGGGGAGAGAGAGAACAAGGGGGGGGAGAGAGAGAACAGGGGGGGGGGGAGAGAGAGAGAACAAGGGGGGGGGAGCGGAGGAGAGAGAGAACAAGGGACAAGGGGGGGAGAGAGAGAGAACAAGGGGGGGGGGAGAGAGAGAGAACAAGGGGGGGGGGAGAGAAAGAACAAGGGGGGGAGAGAGAAAGAACAAGGGGGGGGGGAGAGAAAGAACAAGGGGGGGAGAGAGAAAGAACAAGGGGGGGGGGGGGAGAGAGAAAGGAAAAAAAGGGGGGGGGGGGGGGGGGGGGGAAGAAAAAAAAAAAAAGAGGGGGGATATCAATGAGAATGATAGGAGAGGGGGGAGGTCCAGGCTACGAAGAAGGGTGGTGATTGGTGGGCCAGAACATCATATTAGAATTACAGTCTGGAGGTCTCGGGGAGACAGAACCCCGTTGTGATATCAGCGCCCCTCTTGCTGGTTGGTGCGTGCGTGGGTTGGTTGATGGTTGGTTGGTGACTCGTTCTTACCGCGTCTCTTTCTCCAATGATTTGAGCCGGGCCTGTAACTGTTCGTTCATCTCATGCTGTTCCTCCAGTTCTCGCACGGCTTTCTTCTTCATCCCTTCCAGGCGTTCGATCTCCTCCTCGGCCTCATCCACCTGCCTCTTCAGAGCCTTCACCCGCAAGTTGAGCTGTGGTCGGAGGACAGGACACAAGAGGGGCATTAATACAAGGGGAAGCTACAACGGGTTCATGGTACAACTTCTGCACAGAAACATGACTGACACTGTAATTTAGATTCCAAACACAAAACAAAATTCCTGTGTGAGAAGCACCAGGCAGAAGCCAACACCTTGGCTACACACACGATTCGCGGCTATGACATGACTCAGAATAGCTTCAGCTTCTATGCGGTAGAGTGAGCATGCAGTCTGCAAGTCACCAGCTGCTTGACTCCATGCAGCCTTGAGGGGTTGGGTGGACCAGAGTGCCGTAAAGACACAACATAAACCGGCCCTCACCTGATCTTTCTGGTCATTGACTTGGAGTCTTTCATCTTCCAGTTGGATGTTCAGTTCCTTCAGCTTCCTCTCCAGCTTGCGGTTGGACGACAGTATGGTGTTCTTCTCCCTGGAGGACGGGGTATGAAAATATTATCATGAAATCAGGAAGTAAACATCCCATATCCCTGATGACCCGTATCCGTCAGTATTCTGGGGTGGACTATAAATAGCAATATTGTACGTTTTCATTGGAGCCACCCTGACCGCCCCACCAAAACAACAAGTATTGTCCTCATTCCTTACATTCATCTCATCATGGAGTTTCACAACTCCGGGGTGACATCAGTGGATAGGCAGGAGCCTCTGGGTGTGGTCTAAACATGAACCCTAACCTAAAAACAGGACCGGTGTAAGAGGGACCTCCCATTTGTTAGAGTGAACCTGTGCCAGCACCAAGGTCATGTTAATGATGGTCCCACCAGGAGCTCACACTTCCCTCTGACTTCTTCATTCAGCCATCAGGAGCAAATACCAGATACGGCTGGGTATGGAGAGCATAGGACTGACTCCCATCTAGATCACGTGACACCACTGGTGCTTGGCAATTGGCTGTTTAGACATCAAAAAGGGGTGGGGAGAGAATTCAACCCTATGGAAGCTCCACCTCCTGACTTGGAGCCTACTCAGGGCTTCCCTCATTCCTGATGGCTAATCGAAATGGTGGAGGGATAGAATGGGAAGCTGGTAGAGGGACCACCATGAAAGGGAACTCGGCATTTACACATTGAGAGCTATGATCTCCGGCCTCCCGTACCTCTCCTCAGTCTGCAGTCTGTCCTGGACCTCCTGCAACTTGGACTCCAGCTGAGACAAGCTGGCGCTGGGCTTATGCTGCCCTTCCATGCTGGCCAGGCGGCTCTTCAAATCTTTGTTCTTTCCGGGAAAGAGAAAAGAAATATAATGAATACTTTCCTTGGTTAGAAGAGCAGAGAAACATATCTGGCAGGAGCATGTAGACTCAACACTGATTGGGGGGAGGTGGGACAGACTGGTCAGGACTTGTATTTGCTGGATGGGGCGACAATAGCCAGGAATGGTAAGGCTCACTTGCTTGATCAGGACCTGGAGAAACAACTGATGCTGGGAGACGCATACTATACACAGAGGGGATACAGAGGATCTGTAGGTCTCTCCTACAGCTGTAGTCACCTCTTATGGCCATGTCCTCACCAATCATGTTGCTCCCAGGAACATCTCCCAGTCAGACTCCTCTCCCAGCCTTCTCCCTGACCACCTCTTATGGCTATGTCCCCCACCAGTCTCACTGCTGCTGGGGACCTCTCCCCTTGTCAGACTCATCCTCTCCCAACCTTCTGCCGGTCACCTCTAATGGCCATATCCCCATCAGTCTCACTGCTCCTGGGGACCTCTCCCTGTCAGGCTCCTCCTCTCCCAGCCTTCTCCCTGGCCACGTCCCCATCAATCTCACTGCTTCTGGGAACCACTCCGGTCAGGCTCATCCTCTCCCAGCCTTCCCCTGGTTACCTCTTATGGCCATGTCCCCATCAGTCTCGCTGCTCCTGGGGACCTCTCCCCTTGTCAGACTCTTCCTCTCCAAGCCTTCTCCCTGACCACCTCTTACGGCCATGTCCTCACCAGTCATGTTGCTCCCAGGAACATCTGCCGGTCAGACTCCTCCTCTCCCAGCCTTCTCCCTGACCACCTCTTATGGCCATGTCACCATCAGTCTGACAAAGGGAGAGGTCCCCAGGAGCAATGAGACTGATGGTGACATGGCCACAAGAGGTGGTCAGGGAGAAGGCTGGGAGAGGAGGAGTCTGACAGGGAGAGGTTCCTAGGAGCAGTGAGGCTGGTGGGGACATGGCCATAAGAGGTGGTCAGGGAGAAGGCTGGGAGAGGAGGAGTCTGACAGGGAGAGGTTCCTAGGAGCAGTGAGACTGATGGTGACATGGCCACAAGAGGTGGTCAAGGAGAAGGCTGGGAGAGGAGAAGTCTGACAGGGAGAGGTTCCTAGGAGCAGTGAGGCTGGTGGGGACATGGCCATAAGAGGTGGTCAGGGAGAAGGCTGGGAGGAGTCTGACAAGGGGAGAAGTCCCCAGGAGCAGTGAGACTGATGGGGATATGGCCATAAGAGGTGACCAGGGGGGAAAGCTGGGAGAGGAGGAGCCTGACAGGGAGAAGTCTCAGGAGCAGTGAGAGTGATGGGGACATGGCCATAATGGTGGTCAGGGAGAAGGCTGGGAGAGGAGGAGTCTGACAAGGGGAGAGGTCCCCAGGAGCAGTGAGACTGTCAGGCTCCTCCTCTCCCAGCCTTCCCCCTGGTCACCTCTTATGGCCATGTCCCCATCAGTCTCACTGCTCCTAGGAACCTCTCCCTGTCAGACTCCTCCTCTCCTGGCCATGTCCCCAAAAAGAAAAAAAAGAAAAATTTATAATAAAAAAACACTAAATAAAAAAAAAAAAAAAAAAAAAGTTAAAAATAGAAAAAAAAAAGTCTACAAATTCCTTTAAAAAGTTTTCAAATTCCTATTTTGTAAAATCTCAAAAAAAATAAAATGTAACAAAATGTAAAAAAAAAAAAAAAAAAAAAAAAAAAAAAAAAAAAAAACCCATCAACCCATGCATGTTCCTAGTGTTAAAAATGCTGTTTTCAACCCCTTTTTTTTTGTCAATCTGTTTTCCTAATTTATTAACTACTCTAATAATAAAATACACCAATTAAGACGCAAACACCAGGAAAAGGACATTTTTTTTTTCAGTTATAAAAGGAGTATGTTTTATATTTTTGCTTTGTAGTGCAATAATCACTTTAGCAGCGGAGTGAATAAACCAGAACTTTCCATTTGCATGAAAAAAAAAAAAAAAAAAAAAAAAAAAGGGGGATTAAACGAAACATTGGCGGCGCGGAGATGTCTCTATGGGAATGGCGCCGACATTGGGCATCACAGAGAAAAACATTCTGAGAATTCTTAAGCAGCTGCACCACCTGCAGGCTGAGCGTGGTACTGCTTCTAACAGAACAATTGGAGCCCAGAGAACGGGAACAAAAAACACATTAATTAAAAAAAAAAAAAAAAAATATGAACACGCAAAACACTTGGACCCAACACGCAAAACACCGACTTACGGCTAGAAAGAAATAAGCCGGGTGCGGTTTTTGGCCTTCAGATATAAAGAACGGGCATGCTGGGTGCAAGTCAACGTGCCAAGGACATCAGGAGAGGTGTAAAATAGGCGCTAACACCGTCTCTGTACATATTACGGACGCCGTATAATGCTCTGCGGGACCCCACCTGTCTTTCCAGGGACACCTTGTCACACTCCAGGTCCTGCCGACTGGTTCGCTCCTGCATCAGCTCCGCCCTCAACTGATCCATCTGTAGAAAGAAGGAAAAATTAAGTACAACTGCAACACGGCTCTCCGCTAAGCATACACTCTGATTGGTTGGAGGCATACCACTCTGTTTACAGACGTATCGCCGACAAACACGTCCATGCTCTATTCTGATTGGCTATTGTGAGAAATTGGCACAGCAAGGGTCTTCATTTCCAAAAGGGGTCTCCTGGTTTCAGGGCTTTTTTTCCCCCCTCAGAATAGGTGCAGGAACTCCCCTCTTCTGAGTCATTTCTCATCTCTGCCCCCTACCAACCTCTGAGCACCGTCCCTTGGTTCACCACCTACCCACCTCTGAGCACCATCCTTGGTTCCACCACCTACCCACCTCTGAGCACCATCACTTGGTTACCACCTACCCACTCTGAGCACCATCCCTTGGTTCCACCACCTACCCATGTCTGAGCATTGTCCCTTGGTTCCATCCCCTACCCACCTCTGAGCACCATCCCTTGGTTCCACCTCCTACCCACCTCTGAGCACCAATCCTTGGTTCCGCCCTGTAACCACCTCTGAGCACCAACCATTGGTTCCATCCCCTACCCACCTCTGAGCACCATCCCTTGGTTCCACCTCCTACCCACCTCTGAGCACCAATCCTTGGTTCCGCCCCTGTAACCACCTCTGAGCACCAACCATTGGCTCCATCCCCTACCCACCTACGAGCAACAACCCTTGGTTCCATCCCCTACCCACGTCCGAGCAACAACCCTTGGTTCCATCCCCTACCCATGTCTGAGCATTGTCCCTTGGTTCCATCCCCTACCACCTCTGAGCACCATCCCTTGGTTCCACCTCCTACCCACCTCTGAGAGCACCAATCCTTGGTTCCGCCCCTGTAACCACCTCTGAGCACCAACCATTGGCTCCATCCCCTACCCACCTCCGAGCAACAACCCTTGGTTCCATCCCCCTACCCACGTCCGAGCACAACCCTTGGTTCCATCCCCTACCCACTCCGAGCAACAACCCTTGGTTCCATCCCCTACCCACCTCCGAGCACCATCCCTTGGTTCCGCCCCGTACCCACCTCCGAGCACCAACCCTTGGTTCCACCCCCTACCCACGTCTGAGCACCGTCCCTTGGTTCCACCCCATACCCACCTCCTGAGCACCAACCCTTGGTTCCATCCCCTACCACCTCTGAGCACATCCCTTGGTTCCGCCCCTATCCACCTCTGAGCACCAACCCTTGGTTCCATCCCCTACCACCTCTGAGCACATCCCTTGGTTCCGCCTCCTATCCACCTCTGAGCACCAACCCTTGGTTCCGCCCCGATAACCACCTCCGAGCACCAACGCTTGGTTCTGCCTCCTACCCACCTCCCAGTACCGCCCCTTTTAGAAATTGCAGAGCCAAGTATCATTTTGTGGTTGCCAAGTCATTTGTTAACAAGAAAAAGTAGTAAAATAGATACCCCCGCAGCCAGCATCAATAGACCCCCCAGAAACAAACAATAGATACTCCCAGCAACAATAGACCCTCCCGGGCAGCAACACATTTCCCAGCAGCCAGCATCCATAGACTTTCTAGCAACAACAGACCCCCTAATTCAACAGTAGATCCATTCAACAACTGACCCCCCCAGCAACAATAAACAGCAACAAAAGCCACACATAATAGATGCCTTCCAGCAACAATTGGCCCCCCCCTGCACCATCCCCCCCCCCTTCCCGGCAGTAACAGATTTCCCAGAAGCCAGCATCAATAGACCCCTAACTCAACAATAGATCCCTTACAGCAACAAAAGAAAGCCACAGAAAAATAGATGCCTTTCCAGCAGCAATAGACAGCCAGCAACAGTAGCGCCCCCCCCCCCAACAGTAGATCTTTTCCAGCAACAATTGCCCCCCCCCCCCCAGCAACATAAGCTCCTCCCCCAACAGCAACAATAGACCATCATGTAAAAATAATCCCCCCCAGCATTAATAGGCCAACCCAGCATTAAACCCCCAGGGAAACAATAGATCCCCCCAGCATTAATAGGCCACCCAGCACCCTTGCTATTACATATATTCAGTGCTGGAGGTGCCGGAACTGCATTTCCCCGCTGAAAAAAAAAATCCCTGACTGGCTCTATGTAAGATTTAGGGGTTACCTGGTCTCGGCTGCGGTTCACCCGGTCCGTCATCAGTTCCACCGTGCTCCTCTCCTCATCTAGCTCCGCCTCCAGCCGCTTAAATTTATCCTGGAGAGACAGAACCACTCCTTGTTATCTCTTCAACTTCCCCAACAGTAATAATGGTTACCCTTCAATCTGCAATCCCAGGACCGTCCTGGAACGGTCGACATTCTGCTCCTCATAAAGGTTCTGAAGAAAATACCGCGCAGGGTCGGTCCGGGAGGCTGGTGTTTACCTTTCCCCTTCCTGCCCGCAAGGTGCGCTGCGCTTCACGTAGAATACCGGATAACCCCAACTACTCTTACGGCTACTTTGCGTTTTGTTTTACCGCATTTGTATTGCGTTTTCCCCATATCACGCTTCCCTATTCTAGTGCGACTTCCAGTCCTACAGATGCAACTTCAATGCAGCTTTAGGGGTTCACAGACTTGGAATATAATGGGATTTCCCTTTTATGATCCGACTTCATTGCGATTTCAGCCCATAGACTTCGGTTATCTCACAGAAGTCGCACCTGCATAGATAAGAAGCATTCCTACGTGAATTTGATGGATCTGCTTTGTTTCTTTTTAACCCTCACCTCTCCTCCTCAGTCATCCTTGCTGCCTAAAGGCTAGGTTCACACTGAGGCAGTTTTGATCCTTCATTCAATCGAAGGAAGGGTCAAAATCAAAATCAAAGGAAGGGTCAAAATCAAAGGAAGGGTCAAAATCAAAAGGAAGGGTCAAAATCAAAAGGAAGGGTCAAAATCAAAAGGAAGGGTCAAAATCAAAAGGAAGGGTCAAAATCAAAAGGAAGGGTCAAAATCAAAAGGAAGGGTCAAAATCAAAAGGAAGGGTCAAAATCAAAGGAAGGGTCAAATCAAAATGTCAAATCAAAATCAAAAGGGTCAAAATCAACATCAACCAAAGGAAGGGTCAAAATCAACCAAAAAAAGGGTCAAAATCAACCAAAAAAAAAGGGTCAAAATCAACCAAAAAAAAAAGGGTCAAAATCAACCAAAAAAAAAGGGTCAAAATCAACCAAAGGAAGGGTCAAAATCAACCAAAGGAAGGGTCAAAATCAACCAAAGGAAGGGTCAAAATCAACCAAAGGAAGGGTCAAAATCAACCAAAGGAAGGGTCAAAATCAACCAAAGGAAGGGTCAAAATCAAAATCAAAGGAAGGGTCAAATCAAAATCAAAGGAAGGGTCAAATCAAAATCAAAGGAAGGGTCAAATCAAAATCAAAGGAAGGGTCAAATCAAAATCAAAGGAAGGGTCAAATCAAAATCAAAGGAAGGGTCAAATCAAAATCAAAAGAAGGGTCAAATCAAAATCAAAGGAAGGGTCAAATCAAAATCAAAGGAAGGGTCAAATCAAAGGAAAGGTCAAAACCAACCAAAAGAAGGGTCAAAACCAATCAATCGATCAAAGGAAGGGTCAAAATCAAAGGAAGGGTCAAAACCAATCAAAGGAAGGGTCAAAATCCAATCAAATACATACCAGCACTTCAAAATATGGCCTGAGCATCTAAGTTTCAATGAACCCTGGGTGCAAAAGGGTTAAAAAGAGTGCCGACTGGACAGACCAAGGACTCACCTCCAGCACTTTCACCTGGCGGGAACGGTCGTCCTGAGAGCGTCTCTTGGTCTCCACGTCCTGCTCCAGATTCTGGAGCCGGCTGCTGACCAGCTCCTTGTCCAGCACCGCTTTCTCCCGCTCAGCCTGACTGTCCTGCAGAGCTTGCTTCAGCCGCTGCACCTGAGGATGTAGGAAGACACGGTGTCAGATACCAGAGCGCCACCCGGTGACCGGCAGATGGTCTACAGCCAGTTTATTCCTTGATACTTTCTGCAGGCACCCAGAGTTAGATCAGTTTAAGATAACCAAAGTGGTTCCCCATTCAGCTGAGTCAGTAAAAGAAACATGCACCCCCCCCCCCCCTCCTTCCGCCCCCCCACCCCGTTTGATAGACAATAGTCAGGACCGTTAATGCGGCATGACCCCATTTTGTAGAGGTTATGAAAAGACTAAAAATGGGACCGAAGCCTCTGATCTGGGCTCCCCACCTCATCCTGCATCCGGCTGAGGTTGACCTGTAGTCTCTCTGCCTCGCCTGCTCTCTCCTTGGCCTCTCTCTGGGACTCGCTGACCTCCTTGCGAGACTTCTCTTTGTACTCCTCCAGCTGTGTCTGCAGAATCTGCAGGGAGCCGCGGGACTCGTTGGACATGCTGTCCAGCTGAGGGAGAAGAAAAAACGCATAGAAAGACCATTAACCTTACAGAAGAAGGATTGGGCCAGGCCATGGATGTTCGAAGGCCATGGATGTTCGAAGGCCATGGATGTTCGAAGGCCATGGATGTTCGAAGGCCACAGATTACAGGTTTGCCAACCGGCTTGGTGGCCTATTATCATCTTGCGAATCCTTCACCCTCACCTCTCGGGTCAGTTTGTCCATGGCTTTGTCCAGCAGCCTCTTCTGCTCCTCCAGCTCATTCTTGGTCTTCTTCAGTAGATCCTTCTGCCTCATCTCCTCCTGGTAGCACTCTTGTAGTTCGTCGTACTCCACCGTCAGCCTTTTCAGGCTCCTCTGAGCCTCGTCCAGACGGTTCTCCAGCTCCCGTCTCGTCATGGCAAATTCATGTTCTTGGTCTGTGGCTTGCCCCAGAGATTCCTCCATCCTCTTCTTCTCTGTCTGAGAACCAAAAGAGGGAAAAAGAGGTTATTCACTGAAGTGATCGAACCGTATAAAAAACAGAAGTCTGAGGAAAGGCATGGAAGATTCCACTACTGGTCGGCCTAGGTTTGTCGATCTTATCCTGACCAGGGGCGGACTGACAACTCATGTGGCCCCCGGGCAATAGGGGATCATGGGGCCCGTGTCCTTGCCCAAACTCAAAAAAGCCTATGGAAAAATGGTACCGGGGCATCTCATGGGGCCCCCTACTGACCCCGGGCCCTCGGGCAGTGCCCGAGTTTCCAAATGGTCAGTCCGCCCCTGATCCTGACTGCATTACTTAGTCGTTGACCAGGAACAAATCTGCAGAATGGGTTCAGCCAATAGAAGTCTAAGAACATGTGGACTAGAGATGTGCACCACGGAAACGTTGGTTTTGTTTCATGTTCGTTCATTAAAAACTGATCATTTCGTCGCATTCGTTATGTTGGGAGGGATTCGTTTTCTGAATTTGTTTCGTATATTCATTATTTTTTAATCGATTCGAAATTCTAATTTTGGAAGACTGCTATAGGCAGTCATTCTATTCTTTTCTATTCCTTTTTCTTCTACTTTATTTTCGATTCACTTATTTTCTATTTTATTCCTTTATTTTCTATTCTACTGCATTCTATTCTTTTATTTCCTATTCTAATTTATTCTTTTCTATTTCATTTGTTTCCATTCTATTTTGTTTTATTATATTCCTTTATTTTCTATTCAACTAGAATAGAAAATAAAAAGAATAGAATAAAACCTATTTTTTTTTCCTATTCTTTTACTTTCTATTCTAGTTACTATTCTGTTTTATTCCTTTAGGTTCCATTTTATTATATTCCTTACGTTTTATTCTTTTCTATTCTAATTTGAATAAAAAAGGAATATAATAAATTAGAACATAAAAAGGAATAAAACAGAATAGTAACTAGAATAGAAAATAATAAGAATAGAACCTAAATCGATTAGGTTTTATTTTATTCCTTTATTTTCTAATCGATTTAGGTTCTATTCTATTTTTCTATTCTAGTTACTATTCTGTTTTACTCCTTTTATGTTCTATTCTATTCCTTTATTTTTTATTCAAAATTAGAATAGAAAATAAAACCTATTTTTTTCTGTTCTATAGCATTCTGTTTTTATGTCTTTAGGTTTTATTTTATTCTATTCCTTTATTTTCTAAAGACATAAAAACAGAATGCTATAGAACAGAAAAAAATAGGTTTTATTTTCTATTCTAATTTTGAATAAAAAAAATAAAGGAATAGAATAGAACATAAAAGGAGTAAAACAGAATAGTAACTAGAATAGAAAAAAATAGAATAGAACCTAAATCGATTAGAAAATAAAGGAATAGAATAAAATAAAACCTAAAGACATAAAACAGAATGGTGAATAGAATGCTATAGAAAAAGAAAAAAAAAATAGGTTTTATACTTTTCTATTCTAATTTGAATACAACATTTTTTTCTGTTCTATAACATTCTATTTTATGTCTTTAGCTTTTATTTTATTCCTTTATTTTCTAATCGATTAGGTTCTATTCTATTCTTATTATTTTCTATTCTAGTTACTATTCGGTTTTATTCCTTTAGGTTCTATTTTATTATATTCCTTTATTTTTTATTCACATTAGAATAGAAAAGAATAAAACCTATTTTTTTTTCTGTTCTATAGCATTCTATTCACTATTCTGTTTTATGTCTTTAGGTTTTTATTTTATTCTATTCCTTTATTTTCTAATTGATTAGGTTCTATTCTATTCTTATTATTTTCTATTCTATAAAGCAGCCCAAAAGTAGGATATTTTTTATTTCGCTTTTATACCTTAATACCTCAAATTCGTATAATTAGTTTCGTTAAAGTTTATTTCGGATTAGCTGAAGTTCGTTACTATTGTAAGTCGGACATTCAGATACATCCGAATCACTGCATTCGAAAATTTCGATTTGTAACTAAATGAATTGAACATGTCCAACGTGGACTCATTCATGCGGTATACAAAGCCAGCTCCATGAAGACATGGTTTGACCAGTTTGTGCAGGACACTCAAGTTCCTCCACACCAGAGCCCTGATCTCGACCCTACTGACCACCTTCGGGATGAATTGGAATGCAGATTATGAGCCAAGACTATGTGCCCACTATGGTTATCAAAGCCATTGACCACCATGTCAGCACTGACATATCCCCTTTGGTCAAACCATGTCTTTATGGAGCTGGCTTTGTATATGTTTGGTATGGAGGAACTCTAGTGTCCTGCACAGAGCCCGGACCTCAACCCTACTGAACACCTTCGGGATGAATTGGAATGCCGATTATGAGCCAAGACTATGTGCTCACTATGGTTATCAAAGACCATTGACTACCATGTCAGCAATGACCTATCCCCGGTGTACAAAGCCAGCTCCATAAAGACATGGTTTGACCAGTTTGTGCAGGACACTCAAGGTCCTCCACACCGAAGCCCTGATCTCAACCCTAGTGACCACCTTCGGGATGAATTGGAATGCTGATTATGAGCCAAGACTATGTGCTCACTATGGCTTTCAAAGCCATTGACCACCATGTCAGCGGTGACATATCCCCGGTGTACAAAGCCAGCTCCATAAAGACATGGTGCAACCAGTTTGGTATGGAAGAACTCAAGTGTCCTGCACAGAGCCTGGACTTCAAGCCTACTTTTGGTGGACCTTTGGTGTAAGGTCTTCTCATCCAACATCAGTACCTGCTCTTAACCCTATTTGGGAATACCTTCATGATGAATTGGAATGCCGACTGTAAGCCAGGTCTTTTTTTGGTGCTCAGTGTGAGGCCTGATGCGTGAGGCAAGTCTAATCATCCAACATGAGTACCTGAACTCACAAATGGGCACAAATTCCCCACAGGGACCCTCCAAAAGCCTTCCAAGGAGAGTGGAGGATGTTAAATCTAAAAAAGGGGCAACTCCCCATTAATGGCCATGGTTTTGGAATTGGGAGGTCCAGCAAGATCATAGAGGTGTGCGGTCTAGGTGTTGATAAGCCTTTGGCCATAGAGTTGTTTCTAGACACCAGAAACCTCAAGCCCCATAGTGAAAGTATAGAACAAGAGCAGTGCTCATCAGTGACGGATACCAAAATATCACCCTCAGAGCTGGCACAGCGTACATTTCTCTGTAGAGTGATGGTGGACTAGGTCTACATCTATACAACCAGTATATCTATAGTCACCTCCAGTCTTGACATTTTATCCTTAAAGCGACCCTCGGCCCTCTGCAGGTCATCGCAGAACGTCTTCAACTCCTTCACCTGAGCTCCAGCCCCAGGATCTGTCTCCTAAGGTCGTCGTTTACCTCCCGCGCGTCCTGCAGATTGTTCTCAATGATCTGTCGCGCACGCTCAAACTCCGCCTTCTCATCTTCCAGTTTCTTATTTATCTAAGCGATCAAAGAGGAAAGCCACCTCTGAGTATCTTCTCAGTGATAAATGCCCCCCCCCCCCATCACACTACAGCATATACACAGTCACAGCAGGCCCCTTGATGGTACCAACAGCTGACCGTCCGATTCTTAAAGCACCACTACAGATTTAGACTTTTCAGATTTCACAAGAGATACTTGTCTATCTTATTCTACTTTCTGAAGAACATGGTCCATGATTACCTTGAGGAGCTCATCGTAGTCTCTCTTGGTTTGCTGAACCTCACGGCTGTACTGATCTCGTAGTTTTTCCGTCTCGCGGTCGTGTCCAGACACCTCATCTTTCATCGCCCCCTTCAGGGCGGAGAACTCTCGGTCTCGTTGGTACAGAGTCTCCTCCACCCTCTGCTTTTCCTGAGACAGCTGATGTATCTGATCTTGGAAACTCTGCAACTCCTGTAGGTGAGACATTAGAGCAGGGGTGGGCAAACTTTTTGACTTGAGGGCCGCAATGGGTTTATATATTGGACCCGGGGGTCGGACCAAGAGTAGATGAATGATGTGTATGTGTCATCCATAGTAAGTATAGCAATATTCCCCCATAGTAATTCATATAGTAATTAATCCCCCATAGTAAATCCCCCATATAGTAATCATCCCCCATATAGGAATAACATCCCCCATATATTCATCCCCCATAGTAATTCATCCCCCATATAGTAATTCATCCCCCATATAGTAATTCATCCCCCCTATGGTAATTCATATAGTAATTCATCCCCCCTATAGTAATTCATCATCCCCCATATAGTAATTCATCATCCCCCCATATAGTAATAGTAATTCATCCCCCATATAGTAATTCATCCCCCATATAGTAATTCATCCCCCCATATAGTAATTCATCCCCCATATAGTAATTCATCCCCCATATACTAATCATCCCCCAGTATTACTAATTCATCCCCCCCATATATCCCCCATATAGTAATTCTAATTCATCCCCCATATATCCCCCCTATAGTAATTCAACCCCCTATATAATTCATCCCCCATATACTAATTCATCCCCCATATACTAATTCATCCCCCATATACTAATTCATCCCCCATATAGTAATTCATCCCCCCATATACTAATTCATCCCCATAGTAATTCATATCCCCCCATAGTAATTCATCCCCCCATAGTAATTCATCCCCCCTATAGTAATTCATCCCCCATATTAATTCATCCCCCATATTAAGTCCCCCATATTAAGTCCCCCCTGTGTCAATTCACTTACCTTTGCTCCACGCGTTCCTCTCGCCGTGTTCCCGTGCCGTTCCGGTGTAGCATGAAAATCTGTCTCCTATGAGGATCTGTCCCCCTCGACGTATCTGCGCATGTGCCAGTTTCAGGCATTAGCAGCCGATCGGCGATCTCCGGCACATGCGCAGATACGTCGAGGGGGACAGATTTTCACGCTACACCGGTCTTCAGGGCGGACTGTGAGGGGAGCCTAGCTCCGCGGCCGGATTAAAAAGTCCGCCGGGCCGTAGACGGCCCGTGGGCCGTAGTTTGCCCATTGCTGCATTAGAGTGTAAGCTCTCCGATGCAGCCTACTGCATTCTACACATCACAGTATAGAATGTCTCCTTACCTTCAGCCTTTCTTCATAGCTTTTCTTGGTCTGCTGTAGCTCACGGCTGTGCTGATCTCGCAGTGTCTCCACCTCGCGGTCGTGTCCGGACACCTCGTCTTTCAGCGCCCCCTTCAGGGCAGACAGCTCCCTGTCCCGCTGGTGCAGAGTCTCCTCCACCCTCTGCCTCTCCTGGGACAGCTGGCGTAGCTCATCTTGGGAACGCTGCAGCTCCTGCCGGAGATATGGCAGATGGGGATAAAATCTGGGGCAGTTCAGATCGCTTTTCTTTCGTAAATAATCGGTTGGATTTTTATCATGGGATAAAAAGATAAAAAAATCACTCAGATCAAGCGGCAGCTGAATGGTGTAAACGGTGCGTTTCAATCTATTTGAAGTTAGACACAATTGTGGAATGAACCTCAGGAATCAATCTCCTTCAACAAAGTTGGCTGCATTTATATATTCAGGCAATAAAGCAAGTTAACAAATAAGTTGTGACCTTTTTTCCCTTATTCCTGCTATCCCCCGAGAGGATTTTATTGGTTTAGATGTCCTTCTGTCTGATAAAAGTTGTCTGCAGTTATCTTCAGGGTTTTATCAATGATGACAACCTTGTCACCCTTTTACAATCTCCCCAATCTAGTAAAGTTGGGTGGGTGTTGCTGTCAAAAGTGAAGGAGCCATTATCTCCCCATGCGAATGTCTGAGCTGAAAGTAGGACTTTGTGTCTACGTTGTGCTGGTCGTGGCTCAACTAGGTATAAGAGACAACATAACAGACCCCACCGGCACACATACTCCAAAAGGTCCTACAAAGCTAGTTGTGAGGTGCTCTTCAGACCAGACGTTCTCAACAGGGTTCTAGGCAAGCCCAGGGTTCCTCCAGTGCAAGGGTCCAATCTAAGGCCCCAGGGTCAGATGTGGACCTTTGCTCTCCTTTATCTTGCCCTTAGGGCACTACCCCACCCACCGACGCCAACGATGGGGCACCACGCCTCCCAACGATGGGGCACCACGCCTCCCAACGATGGGGCACCACGCCTCCCAACGATGGGGCACCACGCCTCCCAACGATGGGGCACCACGCCTCCCAACGATGGGGCACCACGCCTCCCAACGATGGGGCACCACTCCCCCCCCCCCTGATACCAATGATGGGGCACCACCCCTCCCAACAATGGGGCACCACTCCTCCCAACAACAGGGCACCATTCCCCCCACTGATACCAATGATGGGGCACCCACTCCTCCAAACGACGCCAATGATGGGGCACCACGCCCCCCACCGACACCAACGATGGGGCAGCACTCCCCCCACTGATACCAATGAAGGGCATTGTTACTGCCACTGATGCTGGGGCATTTTCTGCTCCCACTGGCCAATCTGGCCCCTTAAAGCCTGAAGGACAGTAAACTGGCCCTTTGCTCAAAACGTTGAGACCCCTGCTCCAGAGTTTTCTAGGCATTGTTTGAGCTGTGGCTGATTAACCTCCCACAAATGGTGCCTGCCTATTATCAGGGCCAATGCCAGTTGACAGTTCCGGATACAGGACACTGATGATCTTTTTACTGGTGGGATGGGAAGATGCAAAAAGCCCATTGCTGAAAAGAATGGCAGAGGTACCCAATGTGGTGTCTCTAAGGATTGGTCAGGGTCATCAAGTTTCATCGAAGGGCTTTTTACCTCCTCTCATCCTACAAGTACAGTGCTCACCTAAGAACCCATTGAGCAGGGTTTCATGGAGCTCTAGGGTTCCTCCAGAAGATGCTAGGGGTTTCTTGAGCAATGCTCAATTTCTGCCTCTCAGATCAGTTCACACTGACACAACTGATCTTTTTAGTGATCTATAAGGGGGTAATTCTTCCCAATGCCAACAAGTAAAAAACATTCTTCTCACTGACCATCACACTAATGCACCATGAGTTATAGATATAGGAATTAGAAAGGGTACCCCGAGACCAGAAAATTATTTTAAGGGTTCCTCTGTGTTGAAAAGGTTGAGAAAGGGTGCCATAGAGAATCCAGGATTTGGACCCTCGCAGCATCAAGAGCAACTGATCTCCACTCATGGAGGGTCTCATGGTTCTCCCTGTCTGGGTCACCACAACCTCACCAGAGGCAAGTAGTTTTCTTTATTTTGGTTCTCTAGAGGAAATAACTACATTTAGATAGCTACTACTCTATAAGGGCTCTCCCGCCTCTCCCTTCTTTCTGGTGGATACGTCAGGCTTTTTTATGGGCCTCCATAGCTTTTTCTGACCCTTTAGACCAGCTTCTCTTAACACAAAGGAACCCTTGCAATAACTTTCCGGTCTCAGGGAACCCCTTCTAAGAATTGCTAGACCTACAAGTCATGAAACATTAGTGTGATGGTCAGCAGGAAGACTGCTTCTTACACTTGTGGTCACTGGGAAAAATTCCTCCCTTACAGATAGCTAAAAAGTTCAATGGCGTCAGTGGGAACTTATCTGGGAGGCAGAAATTGCTCATGGAACCCCTTAGCAACATCTTGGGTTCCATGGAACCCTGGTTGAGAAACCCTGCCTTAGACCATTGAAGACTACCACCACCTGAATCCCAATGATATTTTTAGCTAGCATTCTGACCACCACTGCAAGGGGGAAGGGGAGGGAGCTGGAGATGGCATCATTTCCACTGGCCACCCATTGGTTTTAGCAAGGATTCCCCAACATCAAAAAAATAATTTCGAGGGTTCCCCTGGGGTAAAAGGTTGTGAAGGGCAGCAGAGTGGCTAAATGGTTAGTGCTTCTGCCTGGCAGTACTCGGGTCCTTGGTTCGAATCCCAACCACAGCATCACCTGTCTATAGTTTGCATGTTCTCCCTGTGCCTGCGTGGGTTTCCTCTGGGTACTCCGGTTTCGTCTCACACTCCAAAGGCATGCTGGTAGGTGAATTGGATCCTGTCTAAATTCGCCCTAGTATGTGTATGTATTAATGTGAGTTAGGGACCTTAGATTGTATCCTCCTCGGGGGCGGGGACTGATGTGAATGTACAATAATAATAATTAAGCTGCTTTAGACAAAGGCAGAAAAAAAAAAAAAAGTAGTTAGATGTGGTGTTAAGGAACTCCTTCTTAAAAAGGTGGACAGAGTGTACCTAGCCAATATGAATTTAAATCCTCGAATCCTTTCATACCCTTCCTGAAAAACTGGAGAAGATTCAACAAAAAGGGACATCTATACCAGACTAGAACAGAACAGATCAGGAAACAGACATTCACACAGGAAAAGGCAGCTACTCGAACTACAAATACGAACCCTCTTGGTAGACTCCGCCTCTCCGGCCTCCACAGATCCCTTCTTGGCTCGCTCCAGCTCAGACTGCACGAGGGCAAACCGATCTTTCATCTCACTCAGCTCGTCCTCGAATTCTTCCTTCTCCGTCTTGAGCTGTAAGACCCTGAAAACAACCCCCATACCCCGGACATAGGTGAGATGGGGGTCAAGATAGTAGAGCAAGGATTTCGAAGAACAGCAGACATGTGTACGCATTCGAAAACGTCCCACTTTCTGCCCACATCTACAGAATGATTGAGCTGACAGGACAGTACTCCATGAACAGCCACCAATTGTAATGCGAAAGAGAGAAAATGTCAGAGGAAACCGCCTCTGCTGTGTGGATTCTGAAGATCACCGATCATGCCTCATACAACCAGCGGCATGGATGCGTCCTGTATAAAAAGGTTTCCAGCCTTTCGGTAACAGCTTGAGGAAGACCCTTTTCCGTTGACTGTCCCCTCTGTAGAAAACCAGCTCCATAAAGACATGGTTTGACCAGTTGTGTGGAGGAACTTGAATGACCTACACAGAACCCTGACCTCAATCCTACTGAATGCCTTTGGGATGAGTTGGGACGCCAATGGCGAGCCAGGACTTCTAATCTAACATAAGTGCCTTATTTTGTAAATGGTGGCCAGCTCCATAAATACATGGTTTGAGGAGTTTGGTGTGGAGGAACCAGAGTGTCCTGCACAGTGCCCTGACCTCAACCCTACTGAACACCCTCATGATGAATTGGAATGCTGAATGTGAGCCAGGTCTTTTGTTTTTTGCGCCCAACATATGAGCCAGGTCTTCTCATCCATCATCAGTACCGGACTTCATGTCTTTATGGAGCTTGCCACCATTTACGAATTCCGGTACTGATGTTGGATGAGAAGACCTGGCTCATGGGTTGGTGCGCAAAAAACAAAAGACCTGGCTCACATTCAGCATTCCAATTCATCATGAGGGTGTTCAGTAGCGTTGAGGTCAGGGGTCTGTGCAGAACACTCGGATCCCTCTACACCAAACTCCTCAAACCATGTCTTTATAGAGCTAGCCACCATTTGAGGTCAGGTACTGATGTTGGATGAGAAGACCTGACTCACATGTTGGGCCTCATGTTGGGTGCCAAATAAAAAGACCTCGCTCCCAAACAGCTTTCAGTTCATCACGAGAGTGTTCTTTAGGGTTGAGGTCAGGACTCTGGTGTGGAGGAACTCGAGTGTCCTGCACAGAACCCTGACCTCAATCCTACTGAACGCCTTTGGGATGAGTTGGGACACCAATGGCGAGCCAGGACTTCTAATCTAACATCAGTACCTTATCTCATAAATGGTGGCCAGCTCCATAAAGACATGGTTTGAGGAGTTTGGTGTGGAGGAACCCGAGTGTCCTGCACAGAGCCCTGACCTCAACCCTACTGAACACCCTTATGATGAATTGAAATGCTGAATGTGAGCCAGGTCTTTTGTTTTTGGCGCCCAACACATGAGCCAGGTCTTCTCATCCATCATCAGTACCAGACTTCATGTCTTTATGGAGTTTGCCACCATTTACAAAGTCCGGTACTGATGTTGAATGAGAAGACCTGGCTCATGTGTTGGTGCGCCAAAAACAAAAGACCTGGCTCATATTCAGCATTCCAATTCATCATGAGGGTGTTCAGTAGGGTTGAGGTCAAGGGTCAGTGCAGAACACTTGGATCCCTCCACACCAAACTCCTGAAACCATGTCTTTATAGAGCTGGCCACCATTTGAGGTCAGGTACTGATGTTGGATGAGAAGACCTGACTCACATATTGGGCATCATGTTGGGTGCCAAAAAAAAAAAAAAAAAAAAAAAAAAAAAAAAAAAAAAAAAAAAAAAAAAAAAAGGACCTGGCTCCCAAACAACTTCCAGTTCATCGCGAGAGTACGAGAGTATTCGGTAGGGTTGAGGTCAGGGCTCTGGTGTGGAGGAACTCGAGAGTCCTGGACAGAGCCCTGACCTCAATCCTACTGAACGCCTTTGGGATGAGTTGTCACTCCAATGGCGAGCCAGGACTTCTAATCTAACATCAGTACCTTATCTCATAAATGGTGGCCAGCTCCATAAAGACATGGTTTGAGGAGTTTGGTGTGGAGGAACTCAGGTATCCTGCACAGAGTCCCCACCTCAACCCTATAGAACACCCTTGTGATGAATTGGAATGCTGAATGTAAGCCAAGACTTTGGCATCCAACGTGAGGCCAGATGTGTGAGCCAGGAGGTCTTATCAAACATCTGTACCTGACCTCACAAATGGGTACTAAATTCCCACAGACACCCTTCAAAATCTGGAAAACCTTCCAGAAGGATGGAAGGTATTATAGCCACAAAAGGGGGGCAACTCCATATTAATGACCTTGGTTTGTGAATAGGATGTCTGACAAGCTCATTTAGGCGTGACCCTACAATAGTGCTTGGGGATCCCCGCTCAGACGGTTGGTGTCCTGTAGGATGGATGCCGCTGAATCAGTGAGGGTGCAGGCCAGGGGGATGGGTTCGTCCAGACCCAGAGCATGCAGGCAAAGTAAAGAGGAGGTTTCCCGGCTGCCGCACACCTCACCCGGAGAACATCATGATTAAGCCCCAGGACAAAATGCGTTGGAGATGTGGTCTTGATGGACTGAGCTGAGGCTGCTTTCATCGGTCTACTACACAGCCGGGTGAGGTGTGCGGCAGCCAGGAAAGCTCCTCTTTGCTTACAAGCTCATGGTGTGAAGGTCAAGTGTTCAAAAAACGGTTGGCCATATAGTGCATGTGATATGTAACCAATACAAATAATATAAAAAACAAGAGAAAGGGACAGGCCAACGAGGGGAGATGGAACACCTTATCACAATGCAGATAGTACATTCTAGGGGGAGGGACTCCCACTCGCAACGGCCCGGCACTGAAGGGACTCCCCACTCGCAACGGCCCGGCCTGAAGGGCACTGCAACGGGGACTGAAGGGACTCCCACTCGCAACGGCCCGGCACTGAAGGGACTCCCACTCGCAACGGCCCGGCACTGAAGGGACTCCCACTCGCAACGGCCCGGCACTGAAGGGACTCCCACTCGCAACGGCCCGGCACTGAAGGGACTCCCACTCGCAAGGGACTCCCACTCGCAACGGCCCGGCACTGAAGGGACTCCCACTCGCAACGGCCCGGCACTGAAGGGACTCCCACTCGCAAACGGCCCGGCACTGAAGGGACTCCCACTCGCAACGGCCCGGCACTGAAGGGACTCCCACTCGCAACGGCCCGGCACTGAAGGGACTCCCATTCGCAACGGCCCGGCACTGAAGGGATGCCCATTCGCAACGGCCCGGCACTGAACATATTAGCATCTGACCAATGAGAATCCACAGACAGATATATTGTGGTCATTAGAGTATATCTAAGTATAGGCCTTCACAAAACATAAGCAATCACTGAGAGCAGGGCGTTAATCTGCTGTGGACACTCACTCCTGCTTTGAGTTGCGAAGTTCGTCTTTGTTCTTCTGGAACATCTCCTTCCACTGGGTGATCTCCTCGCTGCTCTCCTCCAACTCCCTCTGTAGGTTCCTCACCACCTGATTGATCTTCTGACGCTCAGACTCCAGGCTGATCTGATCCTGTGGTATGAGGGGGGGGGGGGGGGGGGGGGGGAGGGACAAAAGATGTTACAGAAGAGAGGATGGGACAAGTCAGAGGAGGAACATAAATCAGAAGGCTGGAACATTATGGAGACCCAACTGAGAGGACAATGAAAACTGGTGACCACATAACAAACATAGGAGAAGACAACATGGGACGCTGTTGATTAACCAATGGGTGGCACCATCAGGTGATCGATCAGTTATACCGGGGCCATGGCGGCAGCGGTCAACCATAACGCAGTATTAAAAATTTCCAGCCGGCGATCTCCTAACCTGGAAAAGTGATCCAAGTAGCGGATTAGCCGCTGGAGGATCACTTTTACAAGCAGTGGGAGAGTTCACCCCCCCCCAATCCTTGTTTTCCAGGCTCTCACATCCCACCAGGGAGCCGGGGATCTAATCCGGTGGTTGCGTCAGCCTAGAACAGAGGTGACCAGGGACCGTAACGTCCCCAATCATTCCTAAGCATTTTGTCACTTCCGGTCAGGGCAAATGTAAAAAAAAACACTACGATTTTGTTTTTCTGGAAAACATGAGATCGACGGTTTTTGGGGTTTTTTTTTCCTGTTTGCGATCAGGCTTTCCAGGGTAGAGGAGTGATCTGGGGGTCTTATAGACCCCATATGTCTCCATAAAGAGCACCTGTCATGTTATACTGCTATCAAAAAAGGATGTTTACATTTCTTGTGACAGGAATAAAAAAAAAAAAAAGTGATTATAAAAAAAGGAGGAGGAGGAGGAGGTTTTTTGGAAGGAGAAGAAGGAACCGCGTCATAAAAGGACATTGGAAGGAAGGACGCCATTTTATTCTCCAGGAGAAGGAAGGAAGGAGAAAAGGAGAAGGAAGGAAGGAGAAGAAGGAGAAGGGAGAGAAGAAGGAAAGGAGGGAAGGAGAAAAAAGGAAAAGAAGGAGAAGAAGGAAGGTAGGAGAAGAAGTGTCAGAAAAGGCCTGAAGAAGGAAGGAAGGAAGGAGAAGAAGGAAGAAGGAAGGAGCTTCCCCCCCCCCTTCCAAGGACGGAAGGAGAAGAAGGAAGGTCCGGACGAAGAAGGAAGGTCCGGAAGGAGAAGAAGGAAGGAAGGAAGGAGAAGAAGGAAGGAAGGAAGGAGAAGAAGGAAGGAAGGAAGGAGAAGAAGGAAGGAAGGAGAAGAAGGAAGAAAGGAAGGAAGGAAGGAAGGAAGGAAGAAAGAGGAAGGAAGAATGAAGAAGGAAGGACAGTGTATAAAAAATAAATAAAAATAAATCCGGGTGCTTTGGAAAACCTCTGCACTAATACCGCGTGATATAAAAACATTGCAACGAACGTCATTTTATTCTCCAGGGTCTCTGCTAAAAAGAAAAATATCATGTTTGGGAGTCCTGCGTAATTTTTTATAGAGAAAAAAAAAAAAAAAAAAAAAAAAAAAAAAAAAAAGATCTTTTTCTTCATGTAGGAGAGAAGTGTCAGAAAAGGCCTGGCCTCCAAGTGATTAACCACTTCAAGTCTGAACACTTTTACCCCCTTCCAGCCCAGGCAAATTTTTTCAGCTTTCACACTTTGAATGGCAATTGTGCGGTCATGCAACACTGTACCCATATTTTTTTTTTTTTCATTTTTTTGGAGACAGCTAAAACCTTTATTTTGGTGGTATTTATTCACCACTGGGCATTTTTATGCTATATGATATGAAAAAACGTTCAAATATTTTGAAAAAAAAAAAATTATATTTTTATATATATATATATATATATATATATATATATATATATGATATATTTATTTTTTTTTTTCTTATAAAAATTTTGCAAATAAATAATCTCTTCATAAATCTTGGGCAAAATGTATTCATTTATCTTTTTAGTAAAAAATTAAAAAAAAACCCAAATTAGTTTATAACCAAAAATTTTCTTTTTTCTTTTTACATTTTTATATTGTTTTTTTTTTTAAACATACTGTCACCCTAGCAGTAGAGTGTCACCATGGTACTACTTGTAGGGGAACGACACCGATCACGGTGGTGCAGCGCGCTCCCAGGGAGCACACACAGGCAATGGATGCAGGGGGATGTTTTGAGACATCCTCCAGCATCGGCAGCGCCCCCGTCTGGCCGTTTATCTACATGGGCCGGACGGGAAGAGGTAAAAACGGGTCAGATAACGAAATACCAACCACCGAACATGGGAGGCCATACCGGCAAGAAATGAACAAAGGCTGCAGGACAAACAGGTGAGGTCACAAGTACAGGCAATGGACAAAAGCATGGAGGACATGACGCAGGACGGGACAGACAGACCAAGCAGCGAAGCATGCACCACAGATATAGCGGCGTAGGATGGCGGACGCACAACCCAAGCAGACTCTAAAGTTCTAACGTTCTCCCTCCGATACCTGGGACACGTTGTCCATGTTTTTCCTCAGCTGCTGCAAGTCCTTCTGGTACTGCTGACGCACTTGATCCATCTCCTTGTCATGATTGGCCACCTCGTCTTTCAGCGCCCCCTTTAGGGCGGTCAGTTCGCGATCCTTCATCCTCAGCAGCTCCTCCTGCTTGTAGCGGATCTGCAGAACGTCATCCAGCTCTTCTTGCATCTCTTGAAGCTCCTGAAGGATGGAGGGAGTGCGGTGGGAAGCGGTATGGGGGTAGGTGACCTTTTACTAAAGGGAGGGACACCACGTCACCAGCTGGGTTGTTCTACTGGCCTGTTGTAGGATGGGATAACCACACTAGGGTTCTGCCCTGATGGAGGAGGCCTCTTGGAACCCCCGAAAGCACACTGCAGTTTTTTTTAGGACTACTGTGTACAAACTTTATTTGAACCGTCAGGTCTTGGCACTTTCTCCTTGTACAAATCTTGAGATATTACCCCGGGCAGACATTTATCTGTCCCTGACAAGGAAAAAAAATATTTCTAGGGGGGGAATCAGTTGCACCGAGGACAGCATGTCAGCTCAACACCAGATATTGGCCAGAAGGTTGAAGAAGAAGAGGCTTGAGCTCTGTTTTACCCAATTATGTAAAACAGGCACTAGGGACAGTAGCTAAAGCAAGCTGCAGCGCCAAGCTAGCTCTCAGGGGGGAGTAGCTTGCCCGGAAGTCGGGGACCTTGATAGCAAGGGTCAAAGCTTACCTTCAACAGGGCGCTCTTGTCTGCAGACACACCCCTGAGTCCGCTGCCTGGTCACCTCTTCCTTGGTGTCCTGCAGCTTCACCTCCAGGGACCTCATTTTAGTTTCCACCTGTTCTTTGCTCATCCGAACTTCTATCAACCTGTTCAAGAGAACACAAAACGTCAATGAGCATGTTGGGCCATCCACCCAGCTGTGTGGTGAGACAATCATACCAGGCCTCAACCCTGACGAAGGAGGCCTCTTGGAACCCCAGAACTCCATCGCCCCTTCGCATTCCGACAATGGGTCATGTAATCTGATATGTACAATTTGCTGATTTCTCTGCCACTCAAATCTACAGTCACTGAGATAAATTCTCATGCTTTTTACGGACCCTTCTTTGAATATTTTGCATGCTTGTTCTGTGTCTGCCAGTCAGGAACACCAAAGCCAGACACAGCCATGAAAGTAGAACTTTCAGAAGAGGAACAATGGTGTGTGTACTGGCAAGAGTCTGTAAACATCTGACCATTGCACCTACATGAGCTTGTTGGACATTCTATTCCAGAGTCATGGCCATTTATATAGAGTTGCCCCTTCTTCCCATGACCTTTTAGATGGAGTGCCTCCCATCACTATTGTGGTCATAACATCCTCCACTCTTCTGGGAAGACTTTCCACAAGATTTTGGAGGGCGCCTGTGGGAATTTGTGCCCATTTGTGAGGTCTGGTATGGATGTTGGATGAGAAGACCGGCTCATCAGCCATCCAATTCATCCCAAGGGTATTCAGTAGGGATGAAGTCAGTGCTCTGTGCTGGATACTCGGAGTGCCTCCATATCAAACTGGTTAAACAATGGCCGTATGGAACTGGGATTGTACACAGAAGACCTGACTTACATTTGGTGTTCCAATTCATCCCAAAAAGTGGTCATTAGGGTTGAGACCAGGGCTCTGTGCAGGACTCGAAGTTCCTCCATGACCTCAAGACTACTGAACACCTTTGGGATGAGAAGACCTCATACCAAAAAGTGTTTTGTAGGTTTAAGGCAGTGTTTCTCAACTCCAGTCCTCATGGACCCCCAACAGGTCATGTTTTCAGGATTTCCCTCAGATGAAACAGCTGTGGTAATTACTAAGGCAGTGAAACTGATCAAATCACCTGTGCAAAATAATGGAAATCCTGAAAACATGACCTGTTGGGGGTCCATGAGGACTGGAATTGAGAAACACTGGTTTAAGGACAGGTACTGATGTTGGGTGAGAAGACCTCATAACTAAACAAAAAAAAAGTGTTCTGTAGGTTTAAGGGTAGGTACTGGATGTTGGCTGAGAAGAACTCATGCCAAAAAAGGTGTTCCGTAGGGTTAAGGGCAGGTACTTATGTTGGGTTAGAAGACCGCATACCAAAAAGGTGTTCTTTAGGGGTAAGGGCAGATACTGATGTTGAGTGAGAAGACCTTATATAAATAGGTCTGCCAAAAAGTAAGGATGAAGTCAGCGCTCTGTGAAGGACTCAAGTTCCTCCATGAAATCAAGCCGACTGAACACCTTTTGGATGAGAAGACCTCATATCATAAAAGGTGATCCGTAGGGTTAAGGCAAGTACCCACGTTGGGTGAGAGAAGACCTCATACCAAAAAGGTGTTCTTAAGGGGTAAAGGCAGGTACTGATGTTGGGTGAGAAGACCTCATATCAAAAGGTCTGCCAAAAAGTAGGGATGAAGTCAGGGCTCTATGCAGGACTCTCAAGCTCCTCCATGACCTCAAGCCTACTGAACACCTTTGGGATGAGAAGACTTCATACTAAAAAAAAGGTGTTCCGTAGGGTTAAGGGCAGGTACTGATGTTGGATGAGACAACCTCAAACCAAAAGGTGTTCAGTATGGTTAAGGGAAGGAACTGATGCTGGGTGAGAAGACCTCATACCCAAAAAAGGTGTTTCTGTAGGGGTAAGGGCAGGTACTGATTGTTGGGTCAGAAGACCTCATATCAAAGGTTTGCCAAAAAGTAGGGATGAAGTCAGGGCTCCGTACAGGACACACTCGAGTTTCTCCAAATCAAACTGGTCAAACCATACCTTTATGGAGCTGGCTTTGTACACAGGGTACAGTCATGCAGGGGAACAGAAAAGGGTCTTCAAACGGTTAGCAGAAAACTGGAAGAGCACAAAATGTCTACAGTGCCTTTGTGTGATGGAGTATTATCAGGACCCTTCACTGTGAACACCTGAACCATTTGGAGGGATTCACATACTTTTGGCAGCATAGGTAGGTGTCATTATGGGTAACGTCATATGGCCATAAGGTGTATTTCTGCAATGGCAGGGACACTGCCTGCAGTACTTCTGCTGTGCCTACAGGTGTCGCTATATCCCAACTAATACATATATCTATAGCTGACAGTACAGTGAAGGAAATGCGTATTAGCTCCCCGGGTGATGCTGAATGTTCGCCCCTCACACAGAAACGATCGGTCTAACAATGGAATGTTCTCCCCTCACACAGAAACGATCGGTCTAACAATGGAATGTTCGGTGTAACACTGAGAGACAGAATACAACAACAAATTCAGCAGAAATGCGTCTAACAAATGATGACTGATCTGCATGTTCATGAGGGAAAGAAGGATTTGATCCCCTTCACAAAACATGACTTAGTACTTGGTGGCAAATCCCTTGTTGGCCATCACAGAGGTCAGACGTTTCCTGGAGTTGGCCCCCAGCTTCGCACACATCTCAGGAGGGATTTTGGCCCACTCCTCTTGGCAGATCCTCTCCAAGTCATTAAGGTTTGGTGGCTGACGTTTGGCAACTCGAACTTTCAGCCCCCTCCACAGATTTTCCATCGGATGAAGGTCTGGACACTGGCTAGGCCACTCCGGGACCTTAATGTGCTTCTTCTTGAGCCGCTCCTTTGTTGCCTTGGCCGTGTGTGTTTTGGGTCATTGTCATGCTGGAACACCCATCCACCACCCATTTTCAATGCCGTGGCTGAGGGAAGAAGGTTCTCTCCCAAGATTTGATGGTACATTGCCGTCCATCATCCCTTTGATGCGGTGCAGATGTCCTGTCCCCTTAGCAGAAAAACACCCCCAAAGCAGAATGTTTCCACCACCATGTTTCACAGTTGGGATGGTGTTCTTGGGGTCATAGGCAGCATTCCTCCTCCTCCAAACACGGCGAGTTGAGTTGATGCCAAAGAGCTGGATTTTGGTCTCCTCTAACCACAACACTTCCCACCAGTCCTCCTCTGCATCATTCAGATGTTCAGTGGCAGACTTCAGACGGGCCTGGACATGGGCTTTCTTGAGCAGAGGGACCGTGCGGGCACTGCAGGATTTCAGTCCTTGTCGGCGTAGTGTGTTACCAATTGTTTTCTTGGTGACTGTGGTCCCAGCTGCCTGGAGATCATTGACAAGATCCTCACGTGTAGTTCTGGGATGATTCCTCACTGTTCTCATGATCATTGACACTCCACGAGGTGAGATCTTGCATGGTGCACCAGACCTAGGGAGACTGACACTTGTTTTGTGTTTCTTCCATTTGTGAATGATTGCACCAACTGTTGTCACCTTCTCACCAAGCTGCTTGGCCATAGTTTGGTAGCCCAGTCCAGCCTTGTGTAGGTCTACCATCTTGTCCCTGACATCCTTGGACAGCTCTTTGGTCTTTGCCATGGTGGAGAGTTTGGAATCTGATGGTTTGATGGCTCCTGTGGACAGGTGTCTTTTTATACAGGTAACACAACGAGATTAGCAGCACTCCCTTTAAGAGACTGCTTCTAATCTCAGCTTGTTACCTGTATATGAGAGACACCTGGGAGCCAGAAATCCTGCTGAATGATAGGGGATCAAATCCTTCTTTCCCTCATGAACATGCAGATCCGTCATCATTTGTTAGACACATTTCTGCTGAATTTGTTGTTGTATTCTGTCTCTCAGTGTTACACCGAACATTCCATTGTTAGACCGATCATCTGTGTGTGACCGATCGGGGCGAACATTCCATTGTTAGACCGATCATTTCTGTTTGAGGGGCGAACATTCCATTGTTAGACCGATCATTTCTGTGTGAGGGGCGCGAACATTCCATTGTTAGACCGATCGTTTCTGTGTGAGGGGCGAACATTCACCATCAGGGGGTGGTAAATACACATTTCCATCGCTGTCTATACAGCATGTCCGACACCCGCTAAGAGAAAGAATCAGGTTCTTTCTTGTATTCTGTCGGCGTCCTTCAGTCAGATCCAGGGCGTCAGATAAAAGGGATCTGGAGGTATATTGCCGGCTACAAATTAACTTGGCATATTTATAATGGACTTGTCAATGACACGGAGCTGCACCCTCGGCCTGTCTGGACACGGGCATATTTATAATGGAATTGTCACTGACATGAAGATCACCTTGGAACTGCTAAATACCTGAATAATCGTATAATGACCTGGAAATGACTCAGCACATTAGAGAATATTAAAGCTCCATTATTGGCCGAATAGATCTCCTCTACATACAACGCCGCCGCCGCCATTAATAAAAGGGGAAAAAAAAAAAAAGCCAATAGAACAAAATCTCTTCTGCTGTACAATCGGTTTCATTTTTTTTTCCAACCAGATTTTATAATAAAAAGATAGTTGGGTGCAACGAGTGGCTTTGGGACAGGAATGGCACTTCTTACCAGTTAAAGGTCCAAAGTTGTGAATTAAAAACTTGAATAGCCTGGCTGATGAGCAGTTAAAGTTTTTCAACCAGACACCCTGCCCCTCCTGTGATCTAGTGGCACCCGCCCTGGGAGCGCACCCGCCTGCAGTCCTGGAGCACAACCAATCCTGGAGCATATCTGCCCGCAATCCTGGGAAGCACAAGGGCCCGCAATCCTGGGAAGCACAAGGGCCCGCAATCCTGGGAAGCACAAGGGCCCGCAATCCTGGGAAGCACCAGCCAGGCTGATGGAAGTACACATCCAGTGCTCTCTTTAGATCTGTGTGTTCTTGTTCTGTAGAGGATTACACTGACCTTGGATTATTATAAAATGGGCCCAACCGCCCCCAACCCCCGGGAGCACGACCGCCCCCAACCCCCGGGAGCACGACCGCCCCCAACCCCCGGGAGCACGACCGCCCCCAACCCCCGGGAGCACGACCGCCCCCAACCCCCGGGAGCACGACCGCCCCCAACCCCCGGGAGCACGACCGCAACCCAACCCCCGGGAGCACGACCCGCCCCCAACCCCCGGGAGCACGACCGCCCCCAACCCCCAGGAGCACGACCGCCCCCAACCCCCAGGAGCACGACCGCCCCCAACCCCCAGGAGCACGACCGCCCTCAACCCCCAGGAGCACACCAGCCAAGCTGATGGAAGCACATACAGTGCCTTTAGATCTGTGTGTTCCTGTAGAGGATTACACTGACCTTGGAGCACAACTGCCCCCAACCCCCGGGAGCACAACCGCCCCCAACCCCCGGGAGCACAACCGCCCCCAACCCCCGGGAGCACACCAGCCAAGCTGATGGAAGCACACACAGTGCTCTCTTTAGATCTGCGTGTTCTTGCTCTGTAGAGGATTACACTGACCTCGGATTATGGTAAAACGGGGTCAATTTCCTGGAGAGCATTAAAGTTTACTGAAATGCTTTCACTTTTTGGCTGGACTTTCCTTTAAAGGAGGAGCAGAAGCATCTGTGGACAGAAGAGGGTTGAGGGACAGCAATGGACTTACTCTTGGTTCATAGAGCTCAGCTCACTTTTCTTCTTCTCCAACAACTCTTTCAGCTTCTTACATTCCTCCACGCTCTCCTCCAGCTGGATTTCCAGTCTCTGCACAGAGGCTGTGGGACGATCCCGTGAAATCTCCTGCTTCATCCTTTGCTGCAAAGCACCGACAGGGGGTCAGGATCCAGTCAGGAAACAAAAATTTAGAACATAAAGAAGAAGTGCAGGGGCAACATCCTGGTCTCACCTTTATCTCATCCTCCAGCTTTTGTTGGAGCTGAGAAACCTTCTTCTCCAGTTCCTTCTTCTGGTTGACCAAAGTCCTGCTGTCTTCTCCAGGAGAGGTCTGCAGAGACATAACATTTACCTCTATTACAGACCTGGGATAGACATTTTATCTCAGAAGACCATTAAGGTCGTTAGAGGGGTTCATGGAAAATATGTTTTATCATACACATCCTAATATACACAAAGAAGTTCTCTGGTAGAAGGCCCCTTGCGGTGTCTCCATGTGGTCGCAATTCACTAGTGAACTTGAATTTTTGAAAGAAGGGGTGTCGGAGACCACAACTTTGGCTGGAGATTTCTTGCCTTGCAGCCACATAAAGACACCGTAATAGGGACTTCTACCAGGGACATGACAGGTTCATTTTAGGGCTACCTTCCCCCCAACACCATTCTTACCCGCAAGGCTTGAAACTTCTCCAGGAGAAGGCCGGTCTTTTTCCTCAGCATCACCTCACTTTCATTAGATCTGAAACAAAAGGATACATCTTGGTGTAAAAAAAAAACAAAAAACAAACAACCAACCACACACACCATATGCGGACCACAATCCCCCTGGCTGGGCTGAAGATGCCTTTCAGGTGGCACTCAGGGTGTTAAGCTGAACCAACTTTGGGGAGACTCATTATTAAGCCAAAAGCAGGACTTTCCATGGAAACTAGACCTACACACCAATATATAGGCAACTACTAAAAGTTCTTCTAGGGAAGCGGTTCCCAACGTTGGTCCTCAAGTAACCCAAAAAGGTCATGTTCTTAGATTTCCTTCATCTTGCACAGATTCTTGAAATCAATCTCAATAGCATGGTAGTTATGGCAGCTATTGTATCTAAGGGAAATTTGCATGGTCTGTTGGGGGACTTGAAGATGAAGGAACCACTGCTCTAGAGATTCAAAGTCACCCATAGGGTAAGGTTCTTCAAATGTCTAGAAGGACTGAACCACTTCTCTAGGGGTTCCAAGTCACCCATGGTGTAAGATGCTTCAGATGTCTAAATGGACTACACCGCTGCTCTAGAGATTCCTTGTCACCCATGGTTTAAGGTGCTCCAAATGCCTAGAACTGCACCACTACTCTGGAGGTTCCAAGTCACCCATGGTGTAAGGTGCTTCAGATGTCTAGAAGGACTACACCATTACTCAGAGTCTCCAAACTATGGTCTTCCAGCTGTTGAGGTACTACAAGTCCCATCATGCCTCTGCGAGTCTTGCCTGTGGCTGTCAGTCTTGCAAGGCCTCATGGGACTTGCAGTCCCTCAGCAACTGGAGGGCCATAGTTTGGAGACCCTGTTACCAAGTCACTCATGGTGTAAGGTGCCCCAAATGTCTAGAAGAAGAACTGCATTGTTTTAAGGGTCACTCCGACCAAAGAAACCTCCTAATCCCTATAGAATAAGACATTCAGCAGGGGTAGGGGAATACCTCATAATGACTACAGTAACCTCAGACCCAGATTCGGTCAGGCAGTCTAACTCTCCAATATCTAGCTAACCATGAAATATTTGTGGGTGGAGGAACTCTTAAGTGGTACTCTTCTGGTGGTCAGTGATTGTTTTGTAACAATTTCTTCATTCTGGCAAACAAACCAGTGTGGCAAGTGGGAAAAGTTCATCCATAGTTACCCATCTCGCAGGATGTTGTAGATCATTTCCCGGGTAGGGTCACTGTCCTCTTTTTGTTGGTCCTTCAGGAGGTCAGGGGTGCTCTTCAGCTGCTGAAGGAAAGAGAATTCATCAGCTGGACATCTCATAGTATAGAAAAGTTGACTCTCACTTTAGGGGTATCTAAAGGCCAAAATGTTTCTTTTGGAAGGGTAGACCCCCCCCCCTCCCCCCCCCCCCCGTCACATTTCTATTGCCACCGGTGTCCCCGCTGGACAGATTCACTATTTCGGTGACCATAAGCAGAAAGCGAGAAGGAATTCCAACGCAGACAACTAACTGTAAACCTAGATAGAGCTTAAGATCTCCACTCAAGCTGTCAATCCTAGAGTAATAGCATCCTCAGCCGACTCTGTCCAAGCCAACGCGTTTCGTCCTAGAGTGAACCGCGTCGAACGTGGCTTGGCAGGACACCCTGTAGCTCTCATTTCTTCAAGTCATGGTATATATGGTGGTATGGTTTACTAGAAAACCCCTGTAAAAAAAAAAAACCTAAGGCGCCATCCCATGAGGTACATTTATACGATACTGAAAGGCTTCCACTCAACCCAGAGGAAAAATGAGGACTTTTAATGCGTCAGCACAAAAGTATCTAATAAAAGAATTTACAGCTTTTTTTTTTTTTTATATATTAAAATACAATTAAAAGCCACATCTTCAAAAATTGCCATCTCCAGAGTATGATTCATAGTATATGAAACTTGATGAACCGAAGCATTTCCCATCTAATTTGCTTCCTCAAGATGAGCTTGCTTGTATATTCTCAAGACATGGCCGACAGTAGAAAATCAAAATGGCAAATCACCTAATCCTGAGACAAAATGATGGAACAAACCAAGATAGCATCCAGCAGAACATCTACAATAGGCAGTCTCAGAGTCCATCAAGAATGCCGGGATAGGGATGCCTGAATGGTCTAAACCCGAACCCTCCAAAAAAACAAACCAGCAGTCTTACAACCGTCAGGACTCAGTTATAAGGGCAATCCCCAAAGATTCCTTTACTGGCATCCCTTCTGACCGGCCTGGGAACGGTTTTGGTCTACATGACAGTATAGGCTACTGCAATGCGGATGAGCGGGGATGCCAGCAAAAAGAATGTTTGGGGATCATCCATAAGATGGAGTCCTGATGGTTGTAAGCTGGCTGGTTCTTTTTTGGCAGAATCGGTTTAGACACTTCAGGCATCCCCGATAGATGTTGAGTACGCTAGTTTTAGATGTTCTGCTGGACGTTCTCCTAGATGCCATCTCAGCGTCTATCAAGAAAGCCAGACAGGGATGCCTGAACGGTCTAAACCCAAACTCACCAAAAAATAACCAGCCGTGTTACAACCATCAGGACTAGTTACAGTTGCAAGAAAAAGTATGTGAACCCCTTGGGATTACGTGGAGTTTTGCATGAATTGGGCATAAAATGTGCTCTGAACGTCATCTAAGTCACAATAGAAGAACAGTCTGCTGAACATAATACTACACAAACATTAGATGTTGCCATGGTTTAATTGCACATAACATGTAAACATTCACAGTGCAGGGAGGAAAAAGTATGTGAACCTTTGGACTTAATAACTGGTTGACCCTCCTTTGGCAGCAATAACCTCAACCAAACGTTTCCTGTAGTTGCAGATCAGACCTGCACAACGATCTGGAGTCATTTTGGACCACTCCTCTTCACAAAACTGTTTCAGTGTAGCAATATTCTTGGGATGTCTGGTGTGAATCGCTCTCTTAAGGTCATGCCACAGCATTTCAATGGGGTTGAGGTCAGGACTCTGACTGGGCCACTCCAGAAGGCGTATTCTGTGCTGTTGCAGCCATTGTTTTGTTGAATTACTTGAATGCTTTGGGTCATTGTCCTGTTGCATCACCCATCCTCTGCGGAGCTTCAGTTGGCGGACAGATGGTCGTACGTTTACCTGAAAAATGTCTTGATAAACTCTGGAATTCATTTTCCCATCAATGACAACAATCCGTCCAGCCCTGAGGCAGCAAAGCAGCCCCAAACCATGACGCTCCCTCCGCCATGTTTCACAGTGGGGATGAGGTTTTGAGGTTGGTGTGCTGTGCCTTTTTTTCTCCACACATAGTGTTGTGTGTTCTTCCCAAACAACTCAATCTTGGTTTCATCTGTCCACAGTATATTTTGCCAGTAGTGCTGTGGAACATCCAGGTGCTCTTTTGCAAACTTCAAACGTGCTGCAATCTTCTTTTTGGACAGCAATGGCTTCCTCCGTGGTGTCCTCCCATGTACTCCATTCTTGTTTCATGTTTTCCTGATTGTAGATGTGTCAACAAAAATGTTAGCATGTGCCAGAGATTTCTGTAGGTCTTTAGCTGACACTCTGGGATTCTTCTTTACCTCATGCAGCATTCTGCGCTGTGCTCTTGCAGTCATTTTTACAGGACGACCACGCCTAGGGAGAGTAGCAACAGTGCTAAACTTTCTCCATTTGTAGACAGTCTGTCTTACCGTGGACACATGAACATCAAGGCGATACTTTTGTAACCCTTTCCAGCTTCATGCAAGTCAACAATTCTTGATCGTAGGTCTTCTGAGAGCTCTTTTCTGCGAGGCATGGTTCACATCAGACAGCGCTTCTTGAAACCAGTAAACCCAAAACAGGTGTCAGCAACACATCCAATATCATCACACTGATTGGAGTCAAGGTTGGCTCACTCCTGGCTCCAATTAGCTCTGGGAGAGGTCATTAAGCTAGGGCCTCACATACTTTTTCCTCCCTGCACTGTGAATGTTTACATGTTATGTGCAATTAAACCATGGCACCATCTAATGTTTGTGTAGTATTATGTTCAGCAGACTGTGTTCTTCTATTGTTGTGACTTAGATGACGTTCAGAGCACATTTTATGCCCAATTCATGCAAAACTCCACGGAATCCCAAGGGGGTCACATACTTTTTCTTGCAACTGTATATGGGCAATCCCCAAACATTCCTTTATGGGCATCTCCAAACATTCCTTTACTGGCATCCCCACTCACTGGCCTGGGCATCATTTTTGTCTACATGAGGTTATAGGCTACTGCAATGCTGGTGAGCGGGGATGCCACCAAAAAGGAATGTTTGGGGATAATCCATAGAAAAAGAGCCAGCTGCCTTGCAACCATCATTATGTCAGAATCATGTTTAGACCATCCCCGTCCGGCATTCTTGATAGCATCTACGAGAACGTCCAGCAGAACATCTAAAAATATATCATACTCGGCATCTATCTCAGCGTCCATCAAGAAAGCCAGACAGGGATGCCCGAATGGTTTAAACCCGAACTTGCCGAAAAACAGCCAGCCGCCTTACTACCATCAGGACTCAATTATAAAGGAAGATCACCAAAAACATTCCTTTACTGGCTCACCGGCATTGAGGAACCTCATGTAGACAAAAATGGCGCCCAGGCCAGTGAGCAGGGATGCCAGTAAAGGAATGTTTGGGAATCATCCATATAACGGAGTCCTGATGGTTGCAAGGCGGCCAGATCTTTTTTGGTGACTTTGGGTTTAAGCCATTCAAGCATCCCAGATAGATGCTGCAAATGCCCTTTAGATGTTCTGATGGACGTTATCATAGATGCCCTCTTGGTTTGTTGTTCCATTAGTTGTCCCAGGATTCGGTGATCTGCCATTTAGATTTTTTGTTTTCAGCCATATCCCGAGATGGTACAAGCAAACGCATCCCGAGGAAGCGAATTAGTTGCGAAACGCGTCGATCCACCAAGTTTCATAAACTATGCATTGTTCTCTGGAGATGGAAGTTTTAGAAGATGTGGCTTTTACTTGTATTT